CCCCCCGCCCCGTGCCACCCAGCGCTGAATAAACATACCTACTCCACAAGGTTGTGGAGTCTGTTTCCGCACATCAGTTTTGGCGAGCCCTGCAGGAGATTCTCTGCTTGACCACGGGATCGACTGCGGAGCGGACGCTCCTAGGCACGCCCGAGCATCTTCCTCGGAGGAGTCTCCGCTGCCAGCCACTCACCACAGGAGCAGACAAAAACCTCCTGAAGCCGTGGATTAAACGGTATGTTTTACAAGAGGGACCAGTAAGTCGTAGGGGACGCCCACGCTTGACCGGGGCGGCTGGTAAACTGCGCAGAGACGTCTGGCATGCAGCATAGTCCCCGTATGGGAGGAGGGTACCCTGCATGGTAATGGAGAGATTTGCTGACCGATAGAGCGGCCGCTAGTGATCTTGGGGGTAGATCGAGCAAATCTGAGGTCACCGCTGCATCCCGGTGTCAGGAGCCAGGACGGACCTGCTAATGACTGTATAAGAAGCAGGAGAAGGATAAGCGGACCTCTCACAAATCTTTGCAGCTGCTGAAGGGATATCAACTGGAGCGATAATTATCTGTTTTATTTACCCGCGTTATTGTATGTTGAAAATTTGTGTGTATGTGTGTTTGAGACATGGATTTGTGTGTGCATGTGTGTTTGAGACACAGCATTGCTGTGAAGTGAGTGGGAGTCCTGATTTGTGGTTCCGTAACTCCGCGAGGAGCATGGCCAGAGATGGACAAAGCGCCTGGAACGTTTATAAAATTTGTAAATCTTTTGATGTGTAAATTGGGCTGCTGTGGTGCTTGGCCACTCTCCTAAGTATTGGGGAACTGGCTAATCATCAAAGTGGCAGAATGAAGAGAGTCACTCCTTCGGGGGTTTGGGCTTGAACCTTGGGAATATTTAAATGAGGGAGGAATTTGGATAAGAAGGGGAAACAAACGCTTTTTACTTGAAGGGGGCATATTTAACTCCCGCGGGACGGAAAGTGGCTCTGGATTGGGAACAGCCTATTCTGGACGCTTTCTCAAATCCCCACATCAGCGGGCAAGTAGGGGTAATTCCTTGCTTTGCGTGTGGACTTGCCACTAGACTGCATGACAATTGGCATCCGACTTGGGTACTGCTAAAATGTAAATCTTGCAGGAAAAAGTGGTATTGTTTATCTAGCAGGCAGAAGGCAGAGTGCCTCAAGTGCCTTCCCCAAACCCCTAATATAAAAGGACAGGTAAAAATGTTAGAGAAATGGGTAACACTCAGGGAGGCATTTTAAAGAAGAGTCCCCTGGGTTGTATATTGGCTCACTGGAAGGACATTGTTGGAACCGGGGGTACCGAGAGCAAGAAAACTCTCATTAAATATTGTAATCAATGGTGGCCAATCTATAAATTGCAAGATGGGGCTAAGTGGCCACTTAATGGGTCAATTGATTATAATACCCTCCTACGATTAATGTTGTTTTCAAGGAGAGAAGGAAAGTGGAATGAAGTATCATATGCAGATATGTTTTTCACCCTCCGAAACCATCCGGAGTGGCAAAGGGACTGTGGAATGGTGCTGCCACAGGACCCTATGGTACTCGCCCTTGAGCGGGAAAATAACAAAGAACTTAAAGGTAAATTGAGACGGTGTTGCTCGGCGAGTAGTATTGGACAAAGGTGTATGAGAATGAGTAAAGTCCATCAAGCACCAGAACAAGATCTAATTGATTTGCTTAAGCCTCCCCCTCGATCACAGGAACAGGGTGCAGACTCGGACGCCACCTTCACTCCCCCGGATAGTCCTGTATCCTCCTGCACCAGAAAGAAATCCACTCTAACAGCTTTACAAGCACGTCTTCAAGAGGCTGTAGGGCCTGATGGCGGGACAATGCTAATTAGGGTACCTTTTTCCACCACCGATTTAGAAGCATGGAAAAAGGTTGCAAAGGATTACAGGGATGATCCGGTAAGTGTAACTAAACATTTTCAGTTTATTATAAAACAACACAACCCCGATTGGAATGATATACAGTTATTATTAGAATTTATGACCAAGACAGAGAAACAATTGTTTTTAAAAAACGGCAGGGAATTTGGCTGAAGATCATTATAAGACTACAGGAGGGGACATTAAGGAGTATTTCCCTCTCCAAGATCCAAAGTGGGATGCGAATAAGACCGTGCATATGGAAAGACTGCAAGTGTACCAGGAGTGGATTTCGAATGGGATGGAGAGGGCCATCCCCAAAACCATAAATTGGTCAGCGTTATATGCAATTAAACAAGGTCCTTCCGAGTCCCCATCTGAATTCCTGGATCGATTGAGGGATGTCGTGCGCCACAGCACACCACTGGATCCTGGGTCAGAGGTAGGAATACAACAACTAGTTTCCCTGGTTTTGGGCCAGTCCACAGGGGATATTAGGGGCAAACTCCAGAAGTTGCATCCCACAGAAAGCAGAAACTTGGAAGTGTTACTGGATGAAGCATGGAGGGTGTTTAGTAATAGAGAGGAAGGATACAGATGAGGGCAGAGAAGAATGGTGGCGGTTGTTAGGGAAGAGGGAGGAAGGAGACCTAAGTGAGAACCACCCCAATTAGGCAGGGATCAATGTGCACTGTGTAAGAAATTTGGTCATTGGAAAAAGGAATGTCCAAAAAACAAGGGGCAAGGATGAACCCACCAGACAGGAAAAATAGTGACCCATATGAAGGAAAACTGATGGGGACCTGGGGAATCCACCCTAGCGGATCCACTGGTTATAATGAAGCTAGGGAAGGAACAACAAGAAGACATAGAATTTCTGGTTGACACAGGGGCGACATACTCAGTTTTGAATCAAGCTTTGATGCCCCTGGGAGATGATTATATCATGCTAAAAGGAGCAACTGGCCAAAGTGAAAAGGCATATTTCTGTAAGCCTCTGAGATATAAATTAGGAAAACAATGGGGCATCCACAGATTTTTGTTAATGCCCAATTCCCCAAAGGCACTTTTGGGAAGAGAACTGTTGGAGCAATTGGGTGCAAAAATTACATTTAAAAAGGGACAAGTTACTCTGGAGGTAAAAGACCAACAGTACATCCAAATACTGAGTCTATCCTTCACTAGTCTTCCTGCAGAAGGAAAAATTAATGAGGAGATTCTAAACCAGGTATATCCCAGAGTATGGGCCACCGATGTACCCAGAAGGACGAAGAATGCTTCACATGTTGAAGTTAAAATTAAAGAGGGCCGACAACCGGTAAGAATTAAACAGTATCCCCTGAGGAAGGAGGATAAGGAAGGAATCTGGCCAGTGATAGAAAAATTTTTACAATTAGTATTATTGAAAGAATGTGAATCTGATTTTAACACCCCTATATTGCCTGTCCGCAAACCTGACGGATCATACCGGGTGGTTCAGGACCTACGAGCTATAAATAACTGAAGACCTCTATCCGGTAGTGGTGAATCCATATACCTTGTTGACTGTATTGACACCTGAACTAACCTGGTTTACTGTTCTAGACCTGAAGGATGCCTTCTTTTGCTTCCCTCTCCATGAAGCCAGCCAGAAAATATTTGCATTCGAATGGGAAAATCCTAAAAGTGGACGTAAGACTCAGCTCACTTGGACAGTGTTGCCACAAGGATTTAAGAACAGCCCTACTATTTTTGGCAGTCAACTTGCAAAAGACTTGGAATCTTGGGAAGCCCTGTCTGAGGAATGAAAACTGTTACGATATGTGGATGACATCCTGATTGCCACTAAAACAAAGGACAATTGTATGACCTGGACACCTCTTTCCTCAGTGGAAACACAGGAGAACCAGTGCACCATGACTGTCTGGAAACCATCGAGGCAACATATGCAAGCCGTCCGGACTTGAGAGACAGTCCTATAGAAAACAGGGAAAACTGTTTCACGGATGGAAGTAACTATGTCCTAAGCGGTAAGTGACATGTGGGATATGCCGTTACCACCAGTCAAGAAGTAATAGTTAGGACCTCTATCCATGAATACCTCTGCACAGAAGGCAGAAATAATTGCTCTGACCCATGCTTTGGAATTGGCCCAAGGCAAAACTGTGAATATCTATACAGACTCGAAATACGCCTTTGGGGTCGTACACGCGCATGGAGCAATCTGGAAGGAGAGAGGACTATTGAATTCTCAGGGCAAAAATATCAAGCATGCAGAAGAGATCATGAAACTGCTGGAGGCAGTCCAACTCCCTGAAAAAGTGGCAATTATGCACGTTAAGGCACACCAGAATGTGAGCTCAGAATTGGAAAGAGGAAATGAGCTGGCGGACAGAGAGGCAAAACAGGTAGCCAAAGTAAAGGTAAAAATAGAAGGGGCTTTGGTCCCAGATGGGCGAATTTCTCTAGAAGGTAAGCCAAAATATACCATGGAATGGAGGCAGTCCAACTCCCTGAAAAAGTGGCAATTATGCACGTTAAGGCACACCAGAATGTGAGCTCAGAATTGGAAAGAGGAAATGAGCTGGCGGACAGAGAGGCAAAACAGGTAGCCAAAGTAAAGGTAAAAATAGAAGGGGCTTTGGTCCCAGATGGGCGAATTTCTCTAGAAGGTAAGCCAAAATATACCATGGAAGATCAGAAGCTTATCACAGATCTAGAAGGGTTGTATAACAAAGAAGGGTGGGCTTCCACCCCACAAGGGAAACTAATCATTCCCTCTTGTCTAGCATGGCATCTGGTAAGAGAATAACATGGGAAACAGCATTGGGGAACAGAAGCTCTATATAAACATTTAATTAGAGAAATCATGGCTAGAAATCTATATACCACCATGAGACAGGTGACACAACAGTGCGCTCTTTGCCTCCCGACTAATTCCAAAAATACCCCCAGACCCGAAAAGAAATGGGCCAAATTGGGAAAGGCAATGGGCCTGGGCAACAATGGCAGATTGATTTTACAGAACTCCCAAGAAAAGGGGGGGTATTGATATTTATTGATAATAACTGACACCTTTTCAGGTTGGCCAGAAGCATTCCCTAACAGCAAACCGCTAATAATAAGACCCACAGGTTATGACAGTTTTGTGAGATGGTTAGTACCATCTTTAGGGGTAAGTGAGTTAGAAAAAGCTATTGTGAACATTTCAGCCACTTTGGAGCAAATTGAAAATGCCGCAGTTGATGCATTGAAGAATTTGCAGACAGCAGTCTCCTCCTTGAGCAAAGTGGTTTTGCAAAATCGATTGGCTTTAGACATATTAACTGCTAAGGAGGGAGGTGTGTGCACCATCATTAATATCAGCTGTTGTGCATACATAAATAAAGAAAGGAAGATTGAAACAGATCTTTTCCAAATTTGGGAAAAGACAAAAATTCTATATCAGGTAACCCATCATGATACCTCTTGGGATTTCACTGAACTGTTGGAAAAGTTGACCTCCTGGTTACCAAACTTAACATGGCTAAAGTGGTTGTTTGTTACCATAATACTAATCATAGCTTTATCCATAGTCCTTTGTATAGCCGTCCAGTGTGCCTTGTGGTGTCTCCAGAGTATGGGGGATTCCTACAGCAAATTCGAACCAAATTCGATGAAAACTTGAATCTAACAAATATTTTGAGAAGATGTTAGATAGGAAAACATTATATTAGAATAGGGTGTAGTAAAAGAATTTACTAACTTTGTAGAAAGGGGGAACAGAAAAGGGGCTTTAGGGTGTAACTATAAAAGCCTGACTACGCTTATCTAACTATTGTGCAAGATGATTGAAGTGAGGAGTCTTGTAATCTCTCAACAAAGGACGGTTCCTGATAAGAACAGAAATTTATCTCAAGAACCAGCTAAAACCCGACCCTGCTGAGTCAAGGAGCAACTGAGTCTGCATCAGAACAAAGGGTTACTAGCAGTGACGAAGAAGGAGTCATCAGCCTTCATCCCCCATGACCCCTGCGACCACCACCAGGAGACACTGCGCAAGCGCAGTTGGGAGGAGTTTATGGAAATGACTTCTTAAGGCTAATTGTAATACGAAGAGGGGACAGGTCATGCATATGTATAGGCATATTGGGGAAACCTCATGTATATGTAACGCTCTGTTGTATAAATCCAAGACAAGCTACCATGTGGGTGCGCACGACTTTGGTGGGATGACCCCACCCCCGCCCCGTGCCACCCAGCGCTAAATAGACATACCTACTTTACAACCTTACAGGTTGTGGAGTCTGTTTCTGCACGTCACAACCATGCAATGTAGTAACCAGGTGATTAATACAAATCGTACATGAAATTATATGCCACCCTGCAGGGTTCTCACGAACCGTGACTTATGAGTAGCTTCAAATGACGGGTCAAAACAGAAAAAAAGAACGCCTTATTCTTACCAGAGGTCCTTGTCTGCCCCCACACGGATCCACCGAATCGGGGAGTCCCTCCAGAGAAGTCTCCGGGGCCAGCCAAGGGAGTCTCCGACTCAGGGGATCCTGCAGCCGGACAGAGATGGTCTCATCTGGGTTGCCAAAACTGATACAAAATTCGCGGATACTATTCTTCAAAGTCCGAACCTCTCCGTAGGAGGAAACGGAGTATTCAGAAAGTTCCCGAAATAAAACTCAATAGCAACAAAGTTACTGTTAAGCAGGCATCCTTTACTACAGCACTGGGCAGCACTGGGAATCATTCCACCATGAGTGCTCCAACAATTTGGCAAACTTCCAAAGATTATATACTATAAAGTCACACATATTCACAGGATTTCCAAGAATTCATCTACATAAACATGAGATTTCCTGGAAGTCATTAACATATGCAAATGTCCAATCCGCAGGCGTGGTCGTCCTCTTTGGTGGTCCTCCGGGGTCCTCCGGTGGTCTCCAATAGTCCTCCTCACTTGTCCACTGGTTGAACTTTGGGCCTCCTTTGTCCATATATGGTCATTGAATTAGCTCATCACTCCTTTGGTCTTGGAATGTTACAAAAGCAGTTCCTTGAGTGCTCATCTTGGCACAGGTGTCCTCAGTCTATGTTATCAGTGCTTTAGTAAGCCTAACGAGCTTAAGATCTGTTTTAATTCTGTCAGACAAGGAGTCACATTCTTCGAAATATCTGTCCTATTTATCTCCTCTGCTTCAGCAAATAACTAAAACTGAGTCAGGTATTGTCAGAGGTTTAGCCCTTTCATTAATTTCTCTCAGAAGTGGTCTAACTAGAGTCTGGTGATAAGCTAGTGACGTGATATGAAGGCATTACACAGGGCAGCTGTTCCCCTAGCTGCTTTGCTCCCTGTCGTTGTGGAATAGCTCGGGTAGAGCTAGGCTGCTGTGGCAGCACATCGAGCAAGCCAAGGCAGGGGTGACAGAAGGACCAAGAAACAGCAGTGGGTCTGTCACAACTGCTGTCAGCTAATGCAACACACCAGGCACTGGCCCCTGAGTGAACCATGTGGCTCAGAAAGCAGAAGAAATTTCTCGAAAAAACAAGGTAAAACAGAACTGCAGATGCACAATTAAGTTCTGAAAAGATGCTGATAATAGCCCCCTAGCCTGAAAATAACCATTCTCTATAAGCTAAGGAAATACAAGGAAGTGAAAATAAGTTAGATGCGATGTTGGGTGTGTCTTTCCTTTGCCTGCTTACCACAAAGAGATCAGATGCTTTCACTAATCCAGAGTGACTGCAAAACATTGGCCTGGTTTAATCCCCTCTGCCAACTGCCAGGGTCCTTTTGCATGGAGCTGTAAGAGCAGTTGGGTTGGGTCCTATCATGTCCTATCTCTGACAGATACCAGCAGTGTAGTCCTGGGGAGGGAGTACAGGTAATGCTGTGCTATTTTAGATAGGTATTACAGCCTGTAATAAGACACCGGAACAGAACTTAGATATTATAATAAGAGTAATACTGTCCTTCCAGCACCTTCCCACCTGCAATTCAGGACTTCCTCAACTGCAGTTGGTGCCTGAGTCTTCATGGTTAATAAACCACAATGGACTTTTTTTTTTTTTCATGCATTTGAGCCCTTTAGAGTCTCAGCCTCCTGTGACAAGGAGCTCCATAGTTAACCATGTGCCAAGCATAAAGAATTCTTTCTTTTTCTTTGGTTTAAATTGCTCCCTGAGGGCTTCATTCTTTTTTGGGTTTTTTTTTTTTTTTGGACTAACAGGGAGTACCTAGTGCCTAACCACTCTCTTCAGAGATTCTGCCATTGTAGAGCTCACTTGTATACCCTTTCTTTCCAAGGTAAAGTGCTGGACTATTCAGTCCCTCCTTGCACATAAATCATTCTATTTTGCAGAACATTCTTGTTGTCCTGTCTGTCTCTTTTTAAATTCACCATATCTTCTTTTGAGACAGGGGAAGTAGAGCTGCCTAGAGTATCAGGTCTTTGAACCTCTGCCTATAATATGCCTAAAATAAATGAATAGCCTGTATGGTGTGCTCTTCACATCTCCTTGCCCATTGGTGAACCGAACAGTAGCTGATGTCTTTGGAAGTCTAACAACAGGAGACCCCATCTCCTCTTCCTGAGAATATCCCTGCACATGCACAGCTGGGATTGCTTTTTTCACCTGTGCCTTACATTGTCTTCAACAACACTGAGTTGTATCTCTCATGTTCTCACCCATACTATTCTCCAATACCCTTTGGCCATTCCCTGCCATTATCTTTAATATTTATCACCTTAAACACCTTCTGGAACAGACATTGTCACTTCACTAAACTGCTGTGCTGTGATGGAGCCATCAGGGATTCAGAGGCAGCTTGTGGGAGCCAAGCCATCCTTCACTAATACCAGGGTAAGGCTGTAAAGGCATCCTTGACCCCAGTGTATCTGTGCTGTGCAAAGATTTGGATTTGAATGCTTGATTCCAGTCTGTCTCTATATATATGATGCTGGGACATATAGGG